TCCCCCAAGGCTGACCTTAGCTCCAGATGTTAGGATCTCTTGCCCTTGTGAAAGCAGATGATCCAGGGACTTTTGTACAAGCTCCGGTTTTGGAAACGCATGCAAGGGATTCTCCCCTTGCACAGACTGTGAAAGAAGAAAGATGAGAGCCTCCCCTCACCCAGCAGTCATTTTTAAAGCTGAAAATACAGTCACAGTGCCCTTGTTTCACTAGTCATCTAACAAAAGTTTAAAATATAAAGCCATCTACTGTTGGTTTTCCTATGTAGCTTTCTCCTATTTCAAAACCATTTAGAACTACATGATACCCCATCTATTTGAACATTCTACTGTATATACCTCTCAACTTGCTCATTTGGTTCACAAAAACGAAACAATTCACCACCACCAACAACAAATGAAGTTCTTCCACACCTTTTTCACTGGCAGTTAACAGTAATGCCTGCTATGCTTACTTGCTTTTTCTTCAGTTTAAGGATTTGCTGTTCGACTTTGGCAATTTCGCGATCTACACGGTCCATGCTCTGTATCAGTTCTTCCTTTGACAGCTTTGAAGGTGAAGCATTTTGGTCCTCCCCACAAGGCTGACCAGCAATTGGCGAAGATGGTCCCTCATGCTTTCCTCCAAAAGCTGTGTCCTTTCATGGGGATAGGAGATGGGGGTGAGATAGAGAGAAACCGGTCATATTGATAACATGTGAACAACTGGCATGCATGAATTAAACATAATTTCCAGTTAATTGTATCTCTGTTGAGGAGCTAAGTTAATGTTTAATATATCAATTTATTAATGCTCTAAATATTTTAGAATTAACTGACAGCCCATTTATGTTACCATCATTTCAAAGCCCACTTTTAAAAAATGACAGCACACTTCAATATTTAGCTTGAAATCAAAACAAGATCAAACCATCTGTGTTTTAAAAATATATCTTCATAAATGTAAACACCATATTTTATGTTTAAAGGAAGGGTTACTTGAGAGCCAACCCTCAATACTCTGCACATATACTGATGAGGATATTCTTGAAGATAACCAAGACCAGCCTGACTCCACACTCAAACCAATCTGACTGAAAGGTGATGTGTCTGAATGCCACTACTTTGCTAGATGTTTCTAGGCTGTATTTCTGCACTGAGTCAGTAGATTTTTCTGTGTTGTGCCTGGATAAAAATTCAGCTTCATGCAAGCATCTTAACCACTGCATGCCTTAGCTGGGTTCCTCCTACCCCCTTTTATCTTATCTTTGCTACGCAATACAGCAATTTACCAAGAAATCACATGCTATGGTAATTCCACTGTACTTCACAGTTTATTCTCATGATAAAAGGCATGGCAGAAAGAAGGCAGGACAAGAAATCAACTTCTAAAATATCCAGTGTCTATTTGCTTTTGAATCCACATGGTGAAACTTTTCTTCACATGATTAAATTTGGAAATCTGAGTGTTCACCTTCAGAAGGCACCTCCACCATGAATCACCTTTTGGGTGAGCCCAAGTGCTGGTGTGTGTGCATGAGAGCAGATCTGAAATATTCATTTCAGAGACTTTTCCCTCTTCTATACAAAGTGCTCTAATCAATATTCAGTATCTACATTAGAAAATATCCACACCAAACTAAACTGCCCTAGATTTACCCAAAATGAGGCACTGACAAGCATAACTAGTGGTATGTGAACAAGGAGATTAATTTCAAATACTTAAAAGGGAGAGGGGGTAGAGGGGAGAACTCTGACCGCCTAGTACAAATATTCATTACAGAAGAAAATGGACTTGCATGCATTTGCCAGCAGCTTTCATTTGAAAAGCAGAAATATTTAATGTACTGTATTATAATAATTTAGCAACTGAGATTTTAATGACTTAAGAGTGTAGCAGCAACTCAGAACTCCAGTCTCTCTACTACGTTTGAGGTAGACATCTTCTTTTTATAAAAAAGTAACACTCACTCATGACCCAGTTTATGATATCATGTACAATTAAATTTCTGGCATTCAAGAAAGAACCTAAACAAATAAAAAAATTGGCTAACAGAAAAAAATGTGTTTGCTTACTGCAACATAGGAAGTTACACCTTCAGCATCAGAAAATGGTTTTACCTTCTTAATATCTGCAGATCTCAACCCTTCCTGCAGAGGATGTACTAAAGGCAAGACAGTAGCTGCACTGACACGCTGAAAATGGGAATCAGAGACTTGTTCAAGACGTGGTCGCTTAGATTCCAGTGAATCATGATCTGTCTGAGATGGACCTGGATGGAATTGCTGTTCATATCCAGTTCTCCTTTCCTGAGGCCTAATATATGGAAGAGAAGCTATGAAAATATACATTTTCCATACAATAAAATATTTGCTGTTGCTCAGCCCCATCCAAATATACAGGGGATGCAATTAGTGAAGCTCCTTCTGAACAGTAAAGCAGACAAATGTTTGTATGATCTTAAAAATATCACAGTTAAAATCCATTGAAAAAACAGAAAGTTAACTTAAACTTGAAAAGACACAGTTTAAATACATGTCTATCAGCACCAACCCTTAAAGAAACTCACCACTGCTACAATGATACTGTGCAAAGTTCTGATTCAAATGATGAACAAAAATAAATAATCCATGAGATAAATATAGTACTATATCCCACTGAACACAGATGGTGACAACAGTGCCATTAGTTCATTTTTGCAGTCAAATGATTTCCAAATCCACACAGAATGCTTGAAATGAGCCATGAGTCTATTTGGAACTTGATCTCTACTAAAATGCTACTATGTGACAGAAACAGTCATTGATCAGTCCATAAGTCATTTGAAAACTCCTTCTCAGAGAAAGGCACAAGAACAGTATCATTGGCTTCCCTGCAGAGCAGTGCACAGGATGCCCATAAAACAACTTCATGTGCTTCAACATCTTCCTATGAAGTGCCACTGAAGAGATGACAGCAGTTTCCTGTATTTTGCCAGAATTACTAAATAAGCTTTTACAAATTTACTATGTGAGGAGGGGGGGATTTACTTCTGCTACCAAGTGAGATTTTGAGAGCTCTAAAAGCTCCTGTGATTCTGAGCACTAACACAGAGCCTTACTGACATCCTGGTGACATAAGATGAAGGCAACATGCAAGACCCAGTTTTCACTATCATCAAGTTATTTCTGGGAATATTCTAATGAGATTTTAAACTAAACCAGTATTTACATAACATTCATCACTGGTATTTGTTCAGAACCAGATATCTCCCTTACAGCCAAAATAAACCGCTAGCAGTAATCCAGCATATAAAGTTGCTCCTAGCAGATAAACAGACTAAGAGTCCAAGGAAAAAAAAAGTTACAAGGAATAACACTTGCTTAAGACTGTACACCAGCGTGCTAATACACTGAAGCACTGAGGTGCATAAATCATACAGTAAACTCTCCCCTAAACAGAAGCATATTCTTGCTAATTTACTATAATCCTGCTAATCTTAATTTCTAAATTTGGTTTTCAAAGCACATCCAATATTCTTCAGGAATACAGTCAAATGAACGCTTAATACTGTCTGAATACTTTTTTGAACCTATCAACCTCACATTAATACTAACATACATTTGAATATTCATCAACATCCACTGTGAAGTAACCTATTTTACTGAGAAGTAAGATACTACGAAACTGAAACTAAATGACAACATATGATTCACAACTGTAGTTGTCCACTATACTTGTCCTCAATTAACCTACTGGACCCAGATCAGTTGCATCTATTTACAAGGAGACAGCAATGCTACACCAGACTGACAAAAAGGGTATTTAGAACAAATGATATGAAGCTGTCAAGTGTCCTGCCAAAAGCAGCATAAACTCCAATTTACTCCTCTGTGTCTAGAAGTCTATTCCTGCTACATTTCAGTGTATTACCATTCTTATAACTCAGTTAGATCCATTGTTTCTTACTTGCCCAACCACACAGATACCACCTGTTTAAAAAGCAACCCTAATCTAGGAAGTCTGACAGGTAATAATGACACTGTAGCAATTCTTGCACTTGTTGCTTCTACTTGGCAAAATGAAACGATTCAGTTACTAACTCTTCGCCTTGGATTCTCAGACATTTACTGGCAGTGTTGCTAAGAAAGGTGTGGGAAAAGTGAAGCAGACTGTCACTTCCTGTCTGTGAAACAAATATGTTAGTTAAGCCAAAGGGACTGAGGAATTACACAACAGCTACAACAAACACTCAAACGCAGGAGACCAACACCACGACAGCAACAGAGCTCACAGTAATATCTGAAACCTTCCTGTTCAAGAGTTAAAACTAAACTTTACAGAGACTCATGTAAGATTCCTGTTCACACACTTCAAAACCAGCATCCTCACCTGTCAGAGCCCGGGTGGAATTCAGAGAGCAAGGAGGGCCTGCGCCGAAGCTGCTGCTGCTGCTGCTGCAGGAGCTGGGTTGCCTGACTGACCTCCAGGTGAGAGGATCGGTAATCGGGAACTGTAAACTCCTACATGAAACACACTCTGATGTTAACAAGAACAAAGGTGCAGATGACAAGATGAAAAGTGTTTGGTGTCACAGAATGGTAATTTCCAAAGTTATTAAATACAGAACAAGACCAGGTTGTGAATGGCAGTTTTAAATTAACTTTAAAGAGACTAATGCTAAGAATTCCATCCATCTTATTCACAACTTCTAACAAAACACCAGCGAGTCAGCAGCACCAGAACATCCTTTTTAAACAAGTATCTTTTAAACCAATTTTGCATATCCAAGTATAAAGTGGTAAATAGAAAGTATATTTCAACAACCTCAAGGCAATTCCTTCTGTTACCACCTCAAGATATTTCTGTATCAGACACTATTAATTAGGACTAAGAGTCAGATAAAATGCATCTGACTGATATAATTTATAATCAGAGTGAGGTACAAGACAATTTATTTGTATATAGGGGTCTTCAACCACTTGCTTTTAAAAATTACGTGCAGCTGGCATTAACTGAAGAGAAGCTTTGCAAGACACACAATAGGCCATTACTCACCAGATTTAGTTTTTACATATTATCTAAAAATAAATACAGAGCAAGCCCAAAAGCTCCAGTTCTTGAATTTCCTTTTGTAAACATGTAAGTAGAACAAAACATCTAAAGTGTCCGTAGCAGGAGGAGAATTTCATTAAAACAAAGGAAACCTGAGCTGCTCTAAAGCCAAGGGCTAGTCCTTCCCAGCCTACCATGGCATGCAGTGCACAGGATGGCAGAATAAAGGCTCATCAGAAAGGACCAAGTAGAAGATTCTTAGAAACCCATTACCCCAGTTCTGGCTAGCAGCACACAGCCAGCTCCAAGCACTGATATACTTGCTCCAGGATTAAAAAAAAAAATAAATCAGTGTAGCACAAGTTTTTACATTTCAGATTCCCATTCTCCACCTTGCACACAGATTTTGTAAAGAACTATGTTTAACTTATTCATAATCCAGCCCAATACACCTTACAGAGAAGGAGGAAAGATGACTATGGGTGCACTTCCTACACTCCTGGGCTTAGCAGGAGATCAATTCCCCATTAAAAATTAAAAACCCACAAATACCCCAGAGCCCAGTCTCTCAAAGGATTTGTTAGACCCAGAACACTGCATTCATATTAATTGTACACTAACTGTAGACAGGTTATCTGCATATTCTTGGAAAATTATTGTTATCAATGCATATGGACTCAGGCACACTTAGTTGGCCAAATTTAATATCATTATTAAATATTAATAAAGTAAAACTACAACTAAAGTTTATTAACACAATCCCTAGAGTATTTATCCAAACAAGAGAAACCAATGATAAAACTATGATAAAGCCAGGAAGTTCATATTATTTCCCTACGATAAAGATACTGAATTATAAAACTCAGATTTCTGTCAAAAAAAACTAAATAAAAACCAGATAATGATCTTGAAGGAGCAAATTGTAGTGCTTTCAGAAAAAAAACAAACAACAAAAAACCCCCAAAAAACAAAGAGTGAAACCAAACCAAACCAAACCACTCCACAACCATTTACTATGCAACACTAGCAGCGCTTCTCCTCAATAGGCAAAACTTCCTTTGCCACTTCAAGCATTCTTTATATTTGATTTTTCAACATTAAAACAAGTAGAGAAAGTAAGAATCGAAAAGGCTCAGACTGAGGAGAGAAGGTTCTCAATGTCTTTAAGACAGATCAGTTTCTAAAGATAAGTTTTGCCAGTTTGAACAGATTTTAAAATGTTAAATTATAGGAAATACTGACAAGCTGTAGGGTTTTCTTTATGATATCTTCATAGTTTTATAGAGCATTTTTTAATACCAGTCTATGTAAAAAGAAAGAAGGGGTAAAAACCAAAAGAAAACAGCAAAAACTTTTAAAAGCCAAAATTGCAGTCAGTGGTAGGCAGGGATTTCAATAATTGGAGATACAGCATTGCAGGAAGGCATAATTCAACAGGCAGTTTTATCCTGTCAAGGTAATGCTTCAGAAGGAACTAAGGCTACAGATTATACTTCCTAGAAGTCACACTAGAGCCAGACCCTCATTCAAAGACACAATAAAATAAGCAGCAGACCCAACAAGACCCAAACTCTGAATCCACAAACAACATTGTTATACAGATCTCCCTGGTCAGTTTTAACTGGGCGTATTGGTCTGCATACTCCACTGTTTCCAAATGAACAACCTGTATTACCTCGGTTAAAAAAAATATATATAAAATAAAAAAAATCAATCCCATTTAGCACAGCAAACACCTGAATTATAAACTCTTTCTCAAATTGTAAGTCTGGTGTCCCCTTACCTGCTGGTGCCGGGTGCTGGGGAAGGTGTACTGGACAGAGTGAGTAGGGTAACGACTCTGTTCTGTGCTGAATGCTCCTTGGTTAGGAGGGTAGCCTGAACTTGACATTATCAGAGAAGAAGTCTTCACAAAGCTGTGAGATCAAGACCAGCAAGCAATCATGTTTCTAGGAAACCGCCTAAAGGAAAAAAGATCACTGATAAGCACTGAAGTACCAGATGTACTCACAATACATTACAACCATAGTCACCTAAGCAAAACAACCATTACCAGTAAAAGCTTTTTCCTGATGTATTTATTTAATAGGTTACTCTAGTCTGAAACATGTTAACAGGTCTTAAATGGGCTCAAAATGAGACATGTCAGCATTGTCTACACAAAGATTTGAGGATTATCTTGTCGGAATACATCATTTTACCAGTTGAATTAGGAGGATTTTAAAAGAAAAGTAGGTCACTTTTAAATAGAGTTGAAGAGGTTATTATAGTCTACAGATGGACTCTATTTACAATAAATTTCTTCAGTAGAATGTGAAGCTCACTTTCGTTTCTTCTACAGAGTTTTTGGATTCTATGAACTGTTTCTGACTTTCAGTTCAGGTAGTCTTAGGGCTGCTTCACTCAATGCCACCTACAGTTCATCACACCACAGTGTGTTAGTCAGGCCCAGATTTCTATTACAATCCAACAGAAGCTCTGCCGAAGTAGTTGGCAGAAAAGCCAGTGACAAAGAAAAAAACCAAACACACCATTTCAATTGACAGAATAATTTGACTCATATGGGATGCCAGAGACTGAATATACTGTGAAGCCTTAAAACAATCCTGTTCGGTTGACATTCAATGACTACTTTGCCTCTATTGTATTCTCCAGCTACAGATTAACAGTGAGCACTGAAATGCAGACTGATCTGGGAAGATTTTAAGTACTGAAAAGATCTAGACATGTTGACCAACAAAGTCCAAGCATCTACAAAACTGACTATAGTTTCAGCTGATGAAGATCAGATGAGATTGATCAAACACTGTGCTCATCAGTTCTTTGAGCAGGTAAATTGTGGGCCTAAACAAAAAAGCAGGACATAGACATTTTTCAAAGACAAGGTATTTCTGATAGCTCGAAAGATGGAATCCTTGGAGCCTATGCATTAAATGCAGAATTCTCAGACCTGTGGCAAATTCTCTGGTGCAGAGCCTAGTAAACATATCAGAACTCCAAATGAAGTAACTGTTGATCCCTGCCTAGATGGCTTCATTTCAAAGCACATTAATCTGCAGCCTTTCACAAACATCACATGTAAAGTTATACTTCTGGACTGCATTTTCCATTAACAGACAATAGACAAAATCAGCTCAGGAAAGGATCAGACACAGCAAGATATATAGATCAAAGTTTATCTGACATGCTTTATCATTTCTGTTCTGGTTGGTGTTTCTTCCTCACTTCTCCATCAAACAAAGCAAGCTTTACATGTTGGACTACCAAAATAATGAGAGAAATTTGGATTTACCTCTTAAACACTATTTCAAAAATTGAAGAAAACCTACAGCTTCTCTTTCAAAGAAATACTACAGATCACAAGTTGTGTGCTTTATAGTACCTATATATCTATGCTAGTACCTATAACTCATATCCAAGTGACAAGTTCTAACAAAGGATTCTTCACCATTAACATGTATTACACTTCATCATTCATACTGCATTAATCAGGGTACATCTCTACCAACTGAGTGATGGTGTAATAGGTCTGAGTCAGATGCTTTCCACTTAATCAAGAAACGGTGTCAGAAAGCAAGCAGTTTAGTTAATATCCATGGTGCTAGCTAGTTACAAGCTGTAGTACCTGAACACTCAAATGTATTCTGAAATCCAAGCTACAGGAAAAAAAAGCCTTTGATTTTTCTCTCTCAACTTCAATGTAAAACTATGGTATGTAGCTAATTGTCAGCTCAATCAAATATTTACTAGTGTGATAACCATCCCTATCACAGGCTGGTGAACATTTACTATTTAATTAACAACTGGCTCTACGTTAGAAGGATGTTAAAAGAACTAAAAGTTACAAAAGTACAGATCTTAGTTTGATGAATTACTGATGCCTTAACTTCAGCCATATCTTTCCCATGCTCAAGAATCCTAGTTTAACTTGGCTGTTCCTTGTCAAGCACTTCCAGACCTTCTCTAGTTCTGTGATAGCCATTCTGAGGTTCAGGGAGCCAGAAATGCACACCAGATTGTGGAAAAGAATCAATAAAAACTCATGCTGTTCTTATTTTCTTCCCTGACATTCTGACCACAGGCAGGCAGATTTGATGAATGTGGGGATGCAGAGGGGATCAGGGGAGGAACCACTTGAAAATTATACAAGAATATAGGCCAAGTATTGCATGATCCAAGGTCCTTTCTAGTTTCTCTCCATTGAGTTACATCTTCTCCCTATTTTCTCAATCTGCAAGTTGATCATTAACCCAGGTGCCAAAAGTTCAACCCACACTCACTTGACTTGATGCTACAAAGGCTATTTCTCCATTCACAAGAACTTCAGTGTACAGATTGATAGGTTTGTCTTAGGACTGTTGGTTTTTAAATCTTCATTGATATAAGATTCTTTCACAGCCAACAGCAATGAGAGATCCTGAAGGTCTCTCCAGATTCTATTCCAGATGTAGAGAGATGAGGTTGGGAGCATAGTGCCCAAGTATGAACATCCTTCATCCATCCAGCAGTGTTAACTCAAACCCCTTATCTCATAACCTACACGTTTTACGTAATACATATGAAAACAGTCTAACAGCCTCCTACTGAGGACTGCAACCATTATCATGTTTGTAGCACCATAATAAATAAGTGAAACAAAGAAAAACTGCCAACAGAGGAAGGCAACAGAAACAATATTAGAGGTTAGAACAGTGTTCAGTAAGAGAGGAGGGAAGTTAAGAGATGAAAAATAGAAAAAATGAAGTTATCAATGATGGTGCATTTTCCTTCTCCTCAAGGGAACTGACACAACAGCAGGAAAAGATAACGGTGGCAACAGCAGAGGAATATACATGGTTACATACTGGCAATTACAAGGTGGAGAGGGAACTAAGGATGGGGATTCTGTGTAGGATCTCATTTCTTTCAAGATAAAATCAACACTGTAATACAGCACATGACACTGAAGTAAAATATTCCCTCTCTCCAAGCCTCCTTTTCTTGTTACAGATATTTGTATGTGCCTGCACACTCTCCTAATTTGACCTCTCTACATGCCCTACAGCCCCCATCTTATCTCCCAGTCTCATAGTAGGAGCTTGCTTACATTCTCTGCCATATTGGGGGTGAAATTTTGGTCAATATTTGCCTATAAAATTACCACCAATATTCTGCTCATCTCTCCCTGTCTTACTAACTTAATTCTGTAATTGAGTATGTAAGTACTTGACTACAACTCTTACTTCTCTGCAGGAAACCTTATGACCTTCCATCTAAAAGCATCTGACTCTCTCTTCAGCATCTGCTCACATGTATCCAGCAGACACAGATTATTCTTCATCAGTCTATTTTTTCTTGGTCAGTGAGAGCCATGCCAGCTTCCTGCTGTAACCTCTCCAAATTCCCTGTATTCAGATTACACTTAAATAGGGCAGTCTTTTTGCATCAAATTGTGACTGTGTGCATAGACTGTAAACAACCTCATCCGGGCTCTCCTCACTGCTGCATCCTTCCATTAGTCATGACAACCTTCATCTAGCTCCACTCAAATCCTATCAGAATCCTCTCCTTTAAAGCTCCTCGCTGCTAACTTTCTCCACCTCTCCAATCCTTCCACTGGTTCCCTCTTCCCTGCCAGAACAGAGGCTGCTCATCTTCATTTTCAGCACCCATGACAAAGTAAGATAGAAAAAAAAATCAACTTTCAACTCAGCTCAGTCAATGCCAGCAATTTGCAGATAAGTATTTTTATACTGTTTCTTCTTCTTCTTCTTCTTCTTATTATTATTATTATTATTCTGAAAATTTCAGAGGTTTCTCATCTAAACATTTATAAAACCTGGTACAGACTCTGGAATTCTACCTTACATGTTTCACAAAGTTAGGCTGTGAATACTTTCATACGGCCACCAAGCAGGCTGGCAAACTGTCTGTCTCACTGAATACTGACAACGAAAAGGGGCAGAAAAATGTTTCCTGTTTTGTATTTCAGAACCCTGTCCATTCTGCTGTAGTGTCCAACTTCACTGCCATTCCCAGATTCTGTGGTAAAACATACAAGATAAAATAACGTCATATGCGGAGATTTTTTGAGCAAGTTACAAATAATTTAGAGCCGGATATTATAATAGGAAGAGTCAGAGCGTCATTTCAGATCTGGTTCTGTGAGGCAATGCTAATTTGAACAATGGCTCTTGATCTCCAGATCTCAAAATGCTTCAGAAAGAAGCAGAAGTACTATCAGTATACACATGGGAAAATGAGTCACAGAAAGGTTAAGAAATCTGTCAAAGACTAGCCAGGAAATAGTCAATGACTGAATCAGAAATAAGACCCAAGTCTCGCAGCACTTTCAGCAGCCGAAAGCGCTGCCCAAGAAAAGCAGTTCCTCACTAGGGGAAAATGCAGCAGGTTAAAAACTGTGACTATTTTTAGCAGGCCAGTTCCCCCAAACCATCAACGCGTGGTCATACAAATGTTTATGCCAGCAGAAGGAAGGGGTCAAGAGGCCAAAAGGATGATGCAGTCACCTACTCACTGTCTGTGGAACCACAGCCACATCTCCTACCTTCACAGATAAAAGACAGCTCTTGTGGGTAGCCTCAGTTTTTCTTCACATAACATGAAACAAGCTAACACTTCTGCATTTAGAGTCATTTTCATGCCATCTTGAAGTACTTAACCAACATTTGCTAATTAAATTTCACATCCTTTTGGGAATTTTCTTCATCTTGTTTTTGAGCAAACGAAGTGTGATATAAAGAGCACAAAGAATTAGATTACAGTCATATAAGGCTTAAACTGAGTTGGGGGATTTTGTTTTTAAGTCAGCAGCCTTAGTAAATTAAGCTGTGATGTAAGTAACCTATAGCAGAGAGAGGAAGGCTCTGCCTTACGCAGGGGATCTACAAT